ACTAATATACGAGTTTAATAATACTAATACACGAAAATTTATTATAATAATATTGCAGCAATATTATCATTCGTATTTTTTTTTTTATAAAAATTTGTTTTAATATGTTAATGAATCATTTGTTTTAAAATGTTAATGAAGTATATTTTACGCGTGATTTTTCAAAAGTAGAGATGAAAATTTTCCTAATAAATTAATACATTCTAATCCTCGTAAAAATAAATGTATTAAAAGCAACAATAATGTAATCCGATTTTAAATTTACAAAACGGTTTGCATTCTTGCCTGGTCGTAAAAAGCTCGAATACATTTAGTGATTGATTTTGCATCTCTCCTTCTAAATACGAATAAGTTTGCCTACAAATTAATGAAATCTTCGTAAATGTACATTTTACAATCTATTTATATAATATATAACTATGATAAAAAATGCATCGAAAATTTCCATAAATTGGTATCATAATTAACTAGAGCGTCACAATAGTAAAAGATTTTTTTTCCTAAAGTCTATCTTATAATTTACATACAAGGAAATATTATTTTTTCAAACTAATAAGTATCGACGGTCCAATAAGATTTGATTATTGTTATTTTTTCGAATAATTTAAAAGATAATCTCACAACATATAGTATACATGAGTAATATGAAAAATCAATTAACTTTAAAGTTTTATAGTTATCAAACTATTTTCAATTGTAAGTAATGCATTCTTATGTATTTAGAAAGTTGTGTAGATTTCGATGCCGCTTTATATCAAGAGAAAAAGATAAAATAAAATATATTTCTTTAAAAAGTATTGTATCGTGTATTAAAAATATTAAAATACAAAATAAGTAAAATTTTTTTCGTCTTTTACGATATAATCGTTAAGTAAAAGCCACGTACCAAAAACGATGTCGCTTATTAGAGATAATTACAATTCCATTGTAAACGATAGCTTACACTCTGTTAAACGTTGTTGCATCATTGTGGAGCTACTAAACTAATCGCATTAAAAGACACACACAAGAGTGAGAATTACTTCCTTCCTGAATGTATTTCATCTCTCTCTCTCTCTCTCTCTATCTTTCTACGTACTTTCTCTAACAAATGTAGAGGTTATTGTAAACTTTACAAAATATTTTATAAGTGCTCACGTTCCGAATGCAGAAACAGAACTTGGAATTTAAATAGATTTTGTCATAGCTTAATTATTTCTTGATATTATTTCTACTTGTGGACATAATTTGTGTTACTAACAAATAACTGAAGTATATACCTAAATAATTCACATACGCACAAAATGTATCATGAATTCTATTCGAATTACGTACAAAAGATTGTGGAAAACATCGAGTTTTCTACTACATTGTTAACAGATAATCATAAGAATGTTTTCTTCAGAAAATAACTCTCTCATGAGATAATTTCTGTTATTTAGCATTATCTAAAATATTACTCAATAGAATATGGCATAAATTTTACAAAATAATTCGTAAATTATTAGTCTATCATTATCAATTATTTTCGTCAAAGGAAAAGCGATTTTATTAATTTTACCATGAAATATCTGTAACTGAAAAAACATCTAATTATTTTTCTAGAATACTTTGTATAATAAAACCTCGTTCTAATGCAAGATGAAGTGTATTATTTTCTTAGCAGTCGTGCTAAGCTTCATGAAATAAAGATAAGCGGATAACAGTGAAGAAGACAAATCGCGCTTTCCATTCGTCCTTGTTAATAGCTAAAAAAGCGTCAATCTAATCGCATTAAAAGATTAAACCGCGATGATTGCGATTGCGGTCCGCCTTTTCCGGTCGCGTAGTGCTTGTCGCTCTTCCATTTGTTACTAGTCAGAAAAATCCAATAGCAATATTGTCGGTTGAGAGAACCTCATGTCACATCTTTCGTTGAATAAGAAAAGAGGATGTGAAAGAGAACAAGAAATCGTGGAACAAGATTATCGATCCATAATGACATGTACAGTAGAAAATAGTAGAGCAAAAAAGGATAGCATAGGATGTGATTTAACAGATGTTCATGTGTCATCTGTTCATCAGAATGTTCTCTTAAAAGAAAGTATTAAAAGAATTTCCTACTACTCTCTAAATAATAATAAATGGTGAAAAGAAAAAAGATATTTTTAAGATCTCGTGTTCTTATAATACTTTAATGGCCATGTAATTAAAAAGTGAACCGTTGATATTATTTAGAAGAGATACGCGATCAGTTTATCATTTAAGTACTGTTATTGAGCTTGAAATGTATTTTATATAGCATGAATAAAAACAATGAACGCGTATAAATGCATATAAAACACACATATACACACACACTCTCTCTCTCTCTCTCTCTCTCTCTCTCTCTCTCTCTCTCTCTCTCTTTCGAATTTATAAGACGCTATATAATCCATAGTAGCAATTCGTGTAGCAAACAGTTTTGCCACTATATGCTGTAGGAATGTATGGCTCAATTATATCCGCTAATTAGTTCCGTTGGAAGTTTAAGGATGCATTCAATCATGCGCCAGTGTGCAATTATATTGTAATAGCGTCTCGAAAAGTACTTTTTATTCTCTAATAGATTATATGTTTTTCACTAATAAGAAGCTGCATATAAATCGCAGAAAGACAGCTAATCTTCTAATTTTTCAAATGACAAAAAAAATTCCAAAAATTATAGAATGTATTCATATGTCTTACAGTTATGAAATATAATAAAACTACCATCTACTATACGCTTCAATATTTCGAATTCTTATATCTATGGCAATTATTTAGATAACTGTAATTGTACATTATATTATATTCTTTATATTATATTAAAATATTAAAAACTCATAAAAATGTCCAATGACAAATGTTTAGTTTATGTATTATAAATGATACAAGATAAATAGAAAATGACGCGAATTTCAGTATGTCAGTCCAGTAGACTGAACTGTCGCGCGTAGAAATCCAATTCACGGTATCGTTTTGTGAAGATCAGCGTGAACGGGATTCAAGAGGCTAAGGGAAGGTTATTTCGCTATTTCAGGCAACGGGCCTGAACTTCTCGTCTTATTTTCTTTTTCTTCGTGTGTTCATAGCGAAGTCCGCAGGATATATCGCGAAAATACTCGGATTGGAAATTGGTTATACATTAACTATACTACTCTGCCTTTTTGACTACTCACGCACCTAGCAATACGTGAGTAAAAAAGATTTTAAGATATAAGATCCATTCCAAAGTCTGTACCAAACTTTTTCCTATAGCCTCTTTCTTAAGAAGTTTATATTTGTTAATGCTTCAGTTTTTATATAATAATTAGTATTGTACACTATGTTACTATTTTTATGCATAATATATATATATATATATATATATATACATATACACACAGTGTTCGGAAATTCAACCAACAAACTTTCAGAGATTGTCGGGGGCACCAAAAGGATCATGGTTTGCAAATGGACCTAGGATCGAAAGCGTGTTCTTACATCACTACCGGTCAATGTTTAAAACTTTAAACACAGTCCATCTAAATGTAGCCATTTAAACCCTTATTATTTCACAAACTATTACTTAAAATAAAAATTTATACATAACTTTTTTATCTAATGTTTTTGGAAATTTTCTTACTGTGTTTTACTTTGCCAATTTTGGGTTACTTTCGTGCAGTGCGAAACTAATTGTGTGTGTGTGTGTGTGTGTGCACGCGCGCGCGCACACGGACACACAATACAAAACAGTTTCACACACGGACAACACATTCATGTATGACATACAAATTCAGCTTTGATTGTTTATAATTTTCATAAAAATAAAACAGGTAACAATTTTTTAAAATCGAAACGCTATAAATTAAGAAATATAACGGTAACACTATATGCAAGCAAATGCATGTATGTATTTTCATTAATAAAAAAAATGAGAATAAAAATATTGAATGTTGAATAATTTTTTTTCAACCATTCAAATTTGTCAGAAAAATTAAAGTAAAACACTTCTTATATAAAGATTCCAAAATCTAGAAAAAAAATATGTTTGGTTGAATGTTTAAAAAAAATATACTAACTTAAAGAATGATAAATATTCAAAAGAACTCTCAGTGACTAATAATATTATTTGTTCATTAACGTTGTCCTTTATGCAAAAGAAGAAGGGTATCCTAATGTGTTTAAATAGTTCAGATAGTTTAATTAACTTTCAAAATTATAAAACGCTGACCTTGAAAAAAAAGCTAGGTATATTTTACCAAAAAGACTTTAAGAAAGATGTATATACATACATAATAAATGTATCAAAATACCTTAAATATATAGGTATGTGAATGATCAATTTATCAAGAGAGAGAAAGGTGTTATATATATATATATATATATATAATATATTATTAATCATTCAGGTCAAATTATTTACAAAATGTATAAAAATATATTTTTATAAAAAGAATTAAAATTATACTTACAATTAGATATATATTTTCCATAAGACATTATTAATTATTATAAGAAATACAATTCATTGTATTCATTATAATTACTAGAGTTAACAACCTTCAGTTGGCAGTGTCGGGAGTACAAATCTTAAAATTAAATTCTGTCTAGTACATTTCATAATTGTTTATATAGTAATTAAATTTGATGTCATTGTTTCCTTCGCTATAATAATCCTTCGTATGCAATAATTTGATTATAAAAAAAGATAAATACAAATTTAAAATACAGATTAAGACTGCAAATTATGTCTGTCTATTTTTGCAGTAATGTCTCAATTTTTCGATTTATTAGAAAAACCTAATCCACTATTTTTTTATCAATATAATTAAATTTTCTATATCTCAATGTATCTCTATAATAAACGTTTGATACAATTTTACGTGCAATTTTTAATACTTTCGTAATTATCTGTGTTTTATATTAATTTTATTCATCGGCAACTCAGATTACGTAATTAAAGTCGAGATAGAAATTGATAATTAATGAGTAACTGAGAAGGTAATAATTCTCTAATTTGATAACATCACAAAACTTACCTCGCATTTAGGATACTCTTCCTCCGGAGTGGGTCTTTTCCATCCGAGTAACGGTGGTATACAAACAAGCGCCGATAATATCCAGACGAGGGCAATCATAAGCGCGGCTCTAGCTGGTGTTCTTTTCTTCAGGTAATCGACTGCTTGTGTAATGCTCCAAAACCTATCTAAGCTGATTAGGCAAAGATTCATGATACTGGCCGTACACAACAACACGTCCATGGCAGAGTGAATGTCACACCACCAATATCCAAAGATCCAGTAACCCATGATTTCGTTAGCGAGCGAGAATGGCATGATCACGAGACCAAGAAAAAAGTCCGCTACCGCAAGGCTGGCTATGAACCAATTCTGTATGTTTTTGAGCGCTTTCTCCGTAGCAATGGCAATTATCACCAACATATTTCCCACAACAATCACGATCATTAGTAGCGTCGCGAGGATAGACGCCAGTATAATTTGCGGAAGAGTGTATCCCGATGGGTACATACCCTCTCCAAAAACAATGAAAGTCTCGTTATTATACAAACTAATATTCCAGGGATGCCGAAAGCTTCCGTTAAACGAATCGTTGAACGAATTGATTGTGTCTTCCATTGTGTCGCTAAAACCGAAGAGCAACAAATCCTTCCCGTATTCGCTCGCGACTTCCTCCTCCGTGCTGTTTAATACACTTGTACTCACACTTACACTATCGGTAGTACTGCCTATGCTATCAACACTTTGTTCACTGCTGCCGCCCCCAGTACTTAGCCCTGCCCCCTTTTCTTCGCTGGTAAATGCAGTTTCCCCACTCTTTGTCGCGCCTACGGTCTTCCTGCCGCAAATTCGAGTTTCTGAAGTCTGACCGCAATGGTGGGAAGCTTCCTTTTTTGTTACCTCGACGCCCTCTTTTCCCGTTGTCGTGTTACGCTCACCTCCCTCGATGTGTTTTTCGTTGTTTTTAGCAGCGTTCTTGCTCGATCCTTTCACGACACCTTTACCGCTAAGAAGGCGACTAACACGATCACTAGTAGCTGTCGCGGCTGGACGCCGACGTTGCTTACCGTTCGGGATCGCACGTGTTGAAAGGGCCTCGTTACTCGGAAACGTAGAGCCACCACTGATTGCTCGAGACCACGTCATGTTCCTCTCAAAGTCGCTCGTGGACGCCGTTGTCGGACTATCGACGGCGATGGTCATAATGCTGCCGAGAAGCGGCATCACTCGCACCCTCGCCGGGGACTGTAAATGCTATCTTGGTAAAGACGAAGCGGAAGTTGCGGCCGCGCGCGAATAGCAACGTGCCCCGGGTGCCAGCTCGAGTAGCAGCAACAGTAGGAGGGTGGTAGTCTCGTCGCATCTCGAGGCCAAGGGCGTCATGCCCGTTTCAGGATAATGCCATCGTTGTCGAATACGTAAATACGTCCACACGTGCAGCTCTTCTTCGTCCTCTCGGCTCGTTCTGGAAGCCGTTGTCTCTCGTTGAAGATTATTTTTTCAAATCAAACAAACTTGATTTGCGAAACCAACTTCGTTGGTAGAGCTTGTTCCCACTATAATCGATGCGTAGTTTAAGACATTAATCACGAGAGTTTATAATCGAAAAAGTCTTTTTTTTTTTTTACTAAAAGTTTCTTCTCTTTTGCTCAAAATGTGAAAATTTCGTGATATTACTACAATATTTCGCACGCGTAATTCAAAATTTTGGAATTCACGCACTTACGTTTATAATTTTCCTTAACGCTACTAACAAAGTGCGATTAAAATTTCATAATTTTTGACATAATTGTTAACCGCTTTTTTTCCTCTATTGGACCAAATCTTTTAGAATCTAGTTTAGCTTAAATTTAGCTAATTTCGGCGTAACTGACACCTCCGGTTTCCTACTGTTATAGCCGTAACGTTACTTCTGTTATACGTTTTCGGTGCCGTAGTCATACTTAGTTGGTCTCTTAATTTATTGCTTGCATGAGTTGCGACTCCATTCCTCGTATTTCCTGCATTCACTGGTCCACAACAGACTTAACACGGACAGAGTGTATAGAGATTTATGGATAGTCCAGTGGGCGACTTGATTAAGAGTATCAAGGTAGATAGAGAAAGTGAAAGAGAAAGATAGATAAGATAGGAGGAAGGGAGGGAGGGAGGGAGGGAGAGAGAGAGAGAGAAGGAGAGAGAGAGAGAGAGAGACTACGAGAATAAGAGTAAAAAATTGGTCCCCCTTTTTTTTACCTTTTCTTTATATTAAGCTTGAGCAACCTACATAGCCTGGAGGTAAATGAAGCGAGAAAAGATCTCTTGAGAAAGTGCCGACGATCGTAAGAAATTTTTCTTTAGGACAGATCCCCAAAGTAATTTTACAAGATGACAGCCATTTTGACACGGTCGTGAGACATGATTTTGTCTAAAACTCGATAATTGATTTATGCGCTCGTACGTTTCCTCTTTCGTGACGAAAACGCGATTTCCTCGTTTCACTTCAATTCGCGCTTCTTCTCTCGCTTTCTTTCCTCAAGTTCTACGCGCGGCTCGACGTTGTTTCATTCTAACGATGCCCGCGAGCTAATTAATTATCGCGTCGGGGCTAAAAGGCTAAGCGCTGGATACCCGTACTGCTCCGACCTGCTTTTCGAATACTACAAAATCAGTGAGAAAAATCAGAACGATAGAGATTATAGATTGTAGAAATATGTACATATATTTATGCTGTACGTAATATATAATATATGTAATGTATATTAACGCGAGTCCAAAAGTGCTACTTACGAGCCATGTGCAGGCCTTATTAATAACTTCTGTAAATGTATGCGGAATTAGTAATTTATCAATCGTACGTAGTTAAAAGCGCATATTCTTATAATCTAAACTTTATTATTAAATATAAGACATATACATGAAGTTATTTTGTGTGATACATAGAAACAAACAAGCAAGAGGACAGAGAGATATATAGAGAAAGAGCGAGAGAGAGCGAGAGAGAGAGAGAGAGAGAGAGAGAGAGAGAGAGAGAGAGAGAGAGA